ATCAGCGTCAACACTAACAGCTGGATAACCAACTGGCTATGTTCCTACCTCTGTGGAAGGGAACAGTACACTGTGTTTAGAGGAAAGTGTTCAGAGTCTCTGCTGCCTCATGAACTGTACCACAAGGAGGTGTTCTTTCACCCCTTTTTTTCTCTTTTTTTCTGCACGATCTGCCATCTTCCACAGAAAACACTTTTTTGAAATATGCGGATGATCTCACTGTATGTATGCCTATCTCTCCCACTTTACATCCCATAGAAATGAATGAGTTTTTGTCTCGTATTGATTGTTGGTTTGTTGGTCATGGTGTCATACTTAATCCGTCTAAATGTCAAGCTGTTAACTTTAGCATGAGACATGAACGGAATCTAAACACCATTTTGAGATCCCATAATGCTAGTACCATCGGAGACTCTTTGGTAAACACAGTTTCGAAGGTCAATTATCTTGGTGTCACCTTTTCCTCTGATCTGTCTTTGTCTTCCCACGTTTTATTGTTATCAAAGAAGGTTTTCCGTCTGACCTACTACATAAAGAGATTGCATGCTCTTGGGATTACTCGTCATTTACTCTTACAATTTGTCAACTCTTGCATATTACCTATCATTCTTAACTGTTCTCCATTATTCTTTCCCGGGCTTTTGAGGAAAGACTTTGCTGTATTGCGGAGAGTGCTGAAGGCAGTTGGCAAGATGTGTGGTGAATCTTTCGAGGTCATAAATAATATGGTTGTGGATAGACATTTAAAATCATGCAAACTCCTGGCAGGTGTTATTTTATCAGATACTAGCCATCCCCTTCACTCTTATCTTTCTCCTTGTATATCTTCTGGTAGAACGAGACGTAATTACATTAAAATCCATGCACGCAAGCAAAAGTATAAAATTTCTATAATACCTTACCTAGCAAATATACTCTGTGACGAACAGGTTGTTAGAGTTAACCTAGTCAATAACTTGCATTCTTAACATGTCCTTAATTTTAAAAGTTGTACAGTTTTTCGGTTTTTCTTTTGGGTTTCCTACCAATTATCTCTTACTTCTTATTGTCTAAAAACCACTTCATTACATTGTACTGTGAATGCATCATTTTAATCAAAACATCGTGTTAGACATTTACCCTTATTACTAAGAAACAATAATACACTGATTATAATTCAAACTAATGGGTATTGATTATTATTCGTCCATCAAGATTTCAAACAACTATTACCGTTACTACGTAGAACAGAAATAGATAGTCACAGCTCAGTCAAATAATGAAAGGTAAAATACAGTAACAAATAACTTAAATGGAAGTTTGTAACTGTTCAAATGGTGAAATTAAACATTCAATAGTGATAATAAAATGGTTAGTTATGAAAAATCAACAGTGAGCTTAGATTGACAAGCCGAAAAACAATAAATGTTGCAAAATCTGAAATATATTCACAGTAAATAATCAACTATTAAATTTGAAAATCCAATAAATATTATAAGATTACCACGAAAATTGGTGAAAAAGTTAACACGTATTACAGTAGACCTTACGTTTCCACAAGTCGTTCTCATTCAAAGTGTCCAAACACGCAAAAGTATTCTCTTCATATATGAGTGTTATTGGTAAATTTTCAATGCTTGTATAACACCATTCAGTTAATGTTGCGAAACTTATTGCTTGTACTTCACTGAATAACTACCAAAATCAACCAATACCCATAACAAATCTATTGTTATCAGTACTTATTGTATAATCAAGAATTTAAGGCAAAGTGGCAAACAACTTATGAAAAACATTTGAGTAAATCACTTAAACAAAAACCTTCTATTTTCAATAGATTATGATTGACAACAAGTAATTCTTTATACATCATATAATCCTCTACTTTTAGAGATCTAAAACTCTATTAAATAATAGTGAATATTCCAGTTTGTTGACGAGTTTCTTAAATGTTCTGCTCATTTGATAAATGAAGTAAACGATATGTCAATCACTTTGAAATACATCTCACAATTCGATTATCAAAAGTGATTTTATGAAGTCATTACACTGATTAATTTGATCAAGATGAAAACTTTTAAGAAAGAAACACTCATTTTCTCAAATCAAAACTTGTTATCTATGATCTCTTTCCTTTAGTTAATTGATTAGTCATTGACTTTAAGTAAATACTGATGATAAATACATAAAACATATCAAATAGAAATGGAACCAACGTTGATCTCATAGCAATGCACTATTTAAATATTTAGTGGTTTTAATTGGATCTCAATCATGATGTGCGTCATAAGGCGCTGATTCAGATAGACTGTAACCAAATACCAATATGTACATTTTAAAAGGTATACTCTCTGTTCAAATGCTGTGCTTAGACTTTTAATTTCGCCAGTTGAATAACCAGCAAATCCAAATATATTACTAATTACATTTTCCTTAACATAAGAACTTCAGTTATTTTTGTTCGGCGATTTAAATGTAAGGACATTTGGTTACTTAAATATCTTAAATAGCCTATGTAGTTAGTAAGTAAAATACATGAATAATTGCATTTTATAAGAAAGTATTAAGGAAATACTTTGTCCTTGAAAAAACAATATTTATTGGCTGTTCTCTTGTTTTAATTAGTTTCACTTTTGTGAAAATTCACTTCTTTTTTAGTAATAATAACAATAATAATAAAGAGAAATTTCTCTTTAACTCCTGCTATCTACGTGTACATAGTTGTATCAATGCGACAGTTACGTTTTAATGCTTCTGTTGAACAGTATTTTTTTATTTTCACAAATTTCAATTTCTCATTTAATTCTCCTAGCTGTTAAGTGATTAGTCGGCAAATTGAACTGAATGTATTTTGATTAGATTGAACATAAGGATGAGAAATTTATTTTCGTCACGCAAAACTAACATATGTAATTGTTTTCTATAGTGACGAGGCACATCTACTTGATTTCATTCACTCACGTTTTTTTAAAAATAGAAGACGAAATAAAGAATCAGGAATTTCTAAAGACTATCACTTATAATTTTGTTGTGATCCACTGACTAAAATAAGCAATATCGTTAAAACATCAACAAAAATTATCCAATAGCAAATTACTTCATTTCACTTATTAAACAATTATCTATTAATATCAGAAGGGGATTTTGTGGATATTATAGTAATTTCAATAGTTGAGATCATGAGTCAATTGAAGCTAAACCACCATGGAAAACCTGGAAGCACTGAACGGTCGTTTCGTCTTATTGCGGGTCTGTTGTCAGATAGTAACTCACTGATGACAATGATGGACGTGTTGCTTAATTTCGCGGATTGGTTGAAGTTATACATTAACACCGTTGGATACCGGCTGAGTGGCCTAGTGGTTAAGCGCTCGCGCGCGAGACTAATGGGGCTTAAGTTCGAGTCTCGCGAGGCGGCATCGTGGCTGGGCACTGCTGATTAGTCCGACAGTGGGACGAAACGGCCGCGCAGTGCTTCCAGGTTTACCACAGTGGTCTAGCTTCAATTGACTCAGAATCGCAACTATTGACATTATTTATCAATTAAGATATTTAGATTTAATGAAAGTTTTATTAGGTAGTCGTCAATGAAATGTGAAGTTAGGATTAATTATTACTGTATAGGTATCAAAATAAATTTAAAAATAGATTTCCACCCTTTTATTGTTCTAATTTGGCCTAGTCTTTCAGAAGTAGAAAACGATATAAGAAGGTTGAACAAATCCAGATTTTAAAAATGCTATAAAATAGAACAGTAGGTAACATCAGGCTTATTTATGCATGCAGCCTACCAATTTAACTGCTGAAAAGCATGTTAAGAGTAGAAGTACGTGATAATTTTCGATATTAAGTGCTATTAAAATATCAACTTGGTAAATTCGTATGTTTATTCAGCAGATTTTCTCAACAATCCTGAATATTCACTAGTCATTAACATAGAGGTTTAATGATGTTCGAGACTTTTGAAAAAAACAAACATCCAATAAATATATTTCACTACATCTTCCTCACTGTTCAGCTGTTAGAAAGTGCCTGCAAATATTGTGTTTTAATTATTATAAGTAGTAGTGACATTAACGTATACAACTTGATATTCATTCTGTAATGTAATTAATAGAAAGTATAATGTTTCGTGATACATTCTATGTTGTATAAAGAACAAGTTAAATGTAGCGTCTGTGTCAGAAACTAAAAAAACGTCCCACTAATCATTTGTCAGGTAATTAAAGATCAATTCATTATCAATATTCTTAAACTGTTAATTAAAGTTAGCAAGTTTTTTTTCTAATGCTTAACATAAGATGCTTATTCAAGCAAACATTACCACTTATATCGTGAAGTACTGTAATGTTACCTAAGTGAAAAGAATCTTTATGAGTTAAGAATACATTGTGGCATTTCTACGGACACTTATTTCATTTATAAACAGATTTCATATACTCCAATTTTTTTATTTTCAGAGAAAACTAACAAAGTATTCAATGAAGACTTGATGTGTGGGCGAGAATGATTGGTTGTCTGTTTAGTCAGATATGTAGATAGTCTGATAAGTGTCAGATGAGTTATATATTCCCTTATCGTTATTACTATGACTCACTCATTACTGACTGTTCATTGTTGTGAAATTGTGCCGGTTTTTGGTGTGGAAATATATTTACGTTGTGGTCAGGATAATCACGTGTTCTTGTTCTGAGTAGTGTTGAAGTCCTGTAGAATAGACACTAGGAGGGAATCTAGTGTAGATATTCGTCTAGGATAAATTAACGTCCCATACGTGTAAACGTGTAAACCCAACCATTATAACGTTAGACGAAGTAAAACCGAGCGTTATAACAAGACTAAAATAGAGTATTAAAGATCATTTGTAATTATTATGTCATGTTATTGAACTCTCTACAAGATTACTATTAGGATTTTTGAGCAAGTTTTGTTTTGTTTTTTTAAGAAAAAGGAACTTCATTATCACAGAGCAAATAAAAATGGACGAAAGTCCTGAGAAGATAATGAGAATTCAGGTAAAATCATAAAAAGTCTATTACACCATCATTTGCCTTTTGATTCTCTTGCAATCGAACTCTATTCTCAATATCATTGGTCTGTTGTTTTGTCTAAAAATACAATATGAACATATGTTGTAAATAAGTAATTATAAATTTACAAATAAGTTACTAGGCTGAAAACGTTTATGTCAAGCACAATCTATGGTTATTCAATTTCAATGGATTTAACTGGCAAATATATTCATATGTTGAGACTACAAACCATGGAGTTCACTTTGAACATTTTGAGTTGACAGTGAACTTCGACACTTAATATTCCATCTGAAGAGTAATCCTTTTTGATCCTTTCGTATCCACACTCATCATAATTTTAGGATATTCAAGTAACAATTTAGTGAAAATAACATTCGTCAATGGAACTGTTCAATATCGTTCCTATAACTTCAAATCACAAAAATACTACGATTTTGGCCAATTGAGTAAAATCACATGAATTTATATCACTCATTTTTCGTTACGGATGATTTCAAAGCTTGGATAAAGTGAATTTTGTTTAAATGTGAAAATTATATTTGAAATAATATCAGCGATTGAAATTTAACTAGTTCCAACGTTTCGTCCAGCAAACTTGTCTTGACTTCTTCAGGGTAATAATCGAAATCAAAATCATCAAAGAAATATATAGCATCTCAACAATTAAATCTATACTTTGTTAATCTGATAGTATTTGGATGCTGACTTTAGTAAATAGAATAACATGAGTTAGTAAAATGTGAATCATGTGAAAAGTTTACAGTGTGAAGATAACTGACTGAATGAATTATGAGTGTGTATGTGTAAGATTGAGTTATTAATAGTTGATATTAGGTGTTAAATTTGTTTTGATATGAAGAAGAAATAAAAGTGCAAGTTGAAGAAGTCCAGACAAATTTACTTGACGAAACGTTGGAATTATTTTAAATTCCAATCGCTGAAATTATTTAAAATATAATTTTCACCTATAATGACTTCTCCATATTCGGTGTCCAACTTTTATCAAACTATTCGTCCTAATACTGACGAATATTTGTATGAATTTTGTTTACTTTATATTTGAAGTTAACCGATGCACTGTACAATGTTTTTAAAACTATTTTCCTCATTAATATGAGCCTTAATTTAGCAAATTGAAAGGAAATTAACAACCAATCGTCTATTAAATGCACTTTGATACCAAATTGATGGCATAATATTTCACTTAAATCAACATGCTCAAGGGACTTAAGGTTGCTAATCTTTAAGAGGCTAGAATCTTCCAGATTCCATGACAAAAATAACTGTAAACATTTACTGTGAAATAACTGTGAAACTCTTTATTATGGAGGAGGTCTTTAAGAATTTAATGTAACAACATTTCCGAATGTCGAAAGTCATGAGTAAAGTGCTGATCGATAGACGAACTCAATGATATGTTTTCGAATGGTAGTTGCTCACTAGACAGTATTATCAAATCAAATCTCTAAATGATTAGAAATCAAAGACAAGACCACAGGCCAGATTAATAGGTTTCTTGTATAAAAAATGGCGTGCTTATATACAAACTAAATATGATCAAATGTCCTAGGTGATTGAAAGAAAGTTAATTTGTAGGTCACATTCCCTGAAACCAATTAAGATTTGATCGTTAAGCTTAATTATTTCGTAAGGATATGAAATGATTGTCCAACAAGTATTGTTCCATGGTGAAAACAATCCCTATTTGTCCGACGCTTGCGATTCTTAATAAGTAAACAAATATCCAGTAAAAACGTTAATTTCACCAATAAACTTCCAAGAGTCTGAAGTACATCTTTGCAACTGAATTTATTCCATTTAGATTATTTGACTCTAAAAACCTAGTATATCTCTATAGCTGTAAAAATGTAATGTGTGATTACGCTTAAATTAGGATTTTTTCGTTAATCGATATTAACCGCGAAGTTATTGAAGAGCAAAAACCCATAGACTCCTTAAGATATTTGTGTCATACAATTCATGTAAAATCAAAATCAAAACTCATTGGTTAAACGTTAACCTGAAATGATTGTGTCATTTTTGCTATCATTCCACAAAAGTGTATTTCTTTTTTTCAGATGCTTTTTTTCAAAATTTACACCCCAGACTCTGTAGCACTTTATGCTTTAGAACACCAAGTATAACGTTTCTACATATTTGTACAGTATGTATTTGAACGCCTAACTAACTATAGAAATATACCAAGATTGGAACTTTTTAATACGAATTGGGACAGCTGATACTTACAAGAAGTGGGTTATCAAAGTTGCTTTGACCATTGAACCTATATCGTTCCTGAATGCGTTTCATTTCAGACTGGTTCTTTTCATTTCTGTGATTAAAAGCATTCTCATCATCTTCATAATGAAGGTCTTTCGTAGATAAAACGTTCTTTACTTGTTTTACAATATCCTTTTCTGAGATTTTCATTTTAACAACCACTCCACTATTTTCTAACTTTTCATCATTTGTATTCTCATTCCTTATTTTTCTTCCATAAAAGAAAAAATAGTAGAGAGAAAAATGACATCCAGAAAGACATCTAATATCACCTAAATAGGTTGTTTTTACCACTCACTGAGTGAAAGATGTCAACTCAAGGTGATGAAACCTATTTTAGTTGCTTTTAGTAAAAATCCTCACTGACTGACTGACTGACTTACTAACACGTTAGTCTAAAACCGCAAAGAACCGGTTAGAGCCTCCAAGTCAAAAAAACCTAACTAAACGAAAATGGCGTATAAAAGAATAAGAATGTTTGTCTAAAATTTAGGAAATTAGCCAGTGAGTATTTGAAGCTCCATCGACTGATGAATGGTAAACAAAGTATCCATGTGTTGCGATAATGAACACTTTTAACCAAAACTCATAAAAGTTCTTCGTGTTTATTATAACCACCCTTACTTCTTCATAAATGTTGCAATTAATGATGTACAATATAGTTTATAAAAAACCCCAAAAGCTGGAAAAAAATTGGCTATATCACTGCATTTAATAGAGTCTACATATACAACTGACTCACATGACCCAAGAATCCTACAAAAGTGTTTTGTTTTGTACAAAGAGAGATTGACAGTTAAAGCCCTATACATATCGGTAAACCCAAAAGATATACAATTAGCAGTGTCATGGCAACTAGTAATTGATAGGTAAATCTGAATTTCATGTTTATCCTTTTAATTCATTTCATATTAGGCAGACAACGAAGAAATGCTTTCGTTTGTTCTCATCAATTTATTTGTATATATATACCGTGAACAACTATCTTCTTTAACACAACCCCAACTCACATTATTTTGTTTATTTATCCTCATTTTATGCACGCTGTTACATGTTTGGTTAATAACATCTATCAAATTGTGTAGTTTCATCAGAAATCCTAACCAGAGGTGGTATGTGATTATTGAGTACCTCATATCAAATCTATATATACCTGTTATGTTACCTCAATTTCTCCACTTTTTTACACCAAATTACTCATACTCACTAAAACAAATCTCACAATCAGTATTGTTATCATGATTTGAAGGTTTCTTCAGTATACAGTTAAACTCTGAACGATCTACTTACATTTGATAATTTTAATGGTTGATTACTTTCTTTGAAAAAGCTTAAACCGAAATGCCGAGCAAACTGTTAGATTTATTTTAAGTTCAGTCGTCGAGATTTTTACAAATACAATTTTCTCTTTAACGTACATAATACATTTCAATCAAACTAGTGGATGTTTTTCCAAAACATACTATAATACTAACTGTATTCTCACATAAGAAGGTTAAATTATACGTTTTGACAAAAGAGAATATCAAAAACTAGAAAACTCAAATGAATTCAGTTTAATACTCAAAGTTACTATAGTTTTTCATCTACACTTAGTATTATTCCGGTTCAGTTAACGATTATTTCGAATGTCATAATTCACTGAAATATAGCATATTTTCTTTTCAGTGCTACACACTTACCATATACCACGTCATAACAACATACACACAATAATGCACATACCAATATATGTAGTATGTCTAAAAAGAGTGCCTGAATGCTGTGATAGTATGCCTAATAATTCAATAGATCACCCAGCTTTTTGATTGTGATGTTTTAATATCGTTAGAAGGCTTTAGTTAAGTAAATGAAGATTTAATCTAACCAGTGGCATCAATCAACTATGTTGATATAACAGAGATCTTCTATCAAGCACTTTCAGTGTAGTGGTAAATTGAAGTATCTGATATTTATTTACACAACTTGACTACTGAAAAGAATTAGTAAGTAGCTTCAAACTCTCTTAATCTAAAATCAAGGAGTCATGTATAAGCTTCTCCTATAAATTAAGGTAAAATGTAAAATTCAAACATTTTGAATCATTTCAAAAACCGGAAATAATCATACATTTCTGTTTGACACTCATTTTCCCGCACGGCTTTTCTTTGATATTTTTGAATTTCAGCTTCCTGTTCTATTATTTTCTTTCTGATTAGATTTAAGAAAGATTACAGCATGATTCTTATTAGGCTCCTTGTCAAATATCTACCAATTAAAAAGCTACTTACAGTTAAAGAGTAGATAAGATTAATTTCTATCTATAAGTTGTACTAAAAATCATACATTTAATTTTTCTGTAATCTTTTTAACATTTTTGAACAGGTTGTTATATCGTAACTTAATTTACTACATCTGATACATCAAATTTTTGGTTCGATTTACTTATTTAGTTCACACAGTTTTAAGATATCAGTTTATAAAGTCTGTAACCAACGTCTTTTTAAGCGGCACACATCCTCAACTTGACACAACATATTAACTGTGTTGTTATATGATAAATTAGACGAATCTATTGTATACACCACTACCATCTGTTATGCAGAGTGTAAACTTACAAAGAGATTAATTTAATTAAATAGGAAGTTATCAATTGATGAGCTGAGAGTTTAGTATAAAAGTATTCTGATCTTATGAAAAACTGTAGAATTTTATTTAAATCATCAAGTAAAACGTTCCGATTATGATGTTTTTCCTTTTAATTAGTAAACTACTTTATTTACAGTAATTAACAAGTATCTGAGTGACCAGATTGATCTAAATGTATAACGCAAATACATCACGTTTTTCAGATCAACTCCGTCTTCTCATTGTTCTATCGAAATTTATAAAAGAGACTAATTGCTTCAACAGAAGATTATTTTTCATTTACTAAACATAAATAGTAAAATAAAGCAGCTATTGAAAATCATGTTCATTTATATTCTCAATCTCTTTAGCAGTGAGCCGTAATGACCCATTATATAGGATTTTAACCATTTTGCATGATTAGCTTTTTATAGCGGTTTCACAAAATAGAATTATTGTAGTTCTTACATATCAATGATTATAATTCAATAATCATTTAGGATAAACAGTATAATATTGGTTACTATTCAGTGACCGATTATCATAAATATCTCGATCCTATAGGCAGTCATTTTAAGACCAAATAAATCATAAATAATGTTACCTTAAAATATTAGTTCAAACCTCAAGCGATGTGTTTGCGCCATAATGATAAATCCTGACTAGCACTAAATTTAGATCAGTGGCTTTTCATTAATTTCCTTAAACTATCTAACATCAGTTCTTATACACACAAAATATAAAATAGTGGACAACTCACTCCATTATTTCATAATCTTTCTTCATTTTTTCACATGATTCTGATAATGTTTTGTTTAAATGTTGTAAATTAGCAATTTGTGCCTTAGCCGATCCTAATTCACTTACCATGTTCTCATCTCTTTGAACAATTGTTGATACTTTTGGAGCTTGATTAGTAACATTGTGGGATACTAAAAAAAATAAATAATTGGACAGTTTAAAATAGCCCAAAATACGTTTGTTCACCTTATTACAATTATTTTACCATACCTAAAGCTGAGACTTTCAAATTAATCCACTAAAAGCTTGTAGATTAAATTTAATAATGATAGACTTGAAATATTAGTCAGAAATAGAGAATTTTCTTCACTACTATTCTACAACCATCTAGAGCATCAATACTCAGTACAATTTTATAAAGAGATGGTAATGACTCCTTCATACTAGAGAAGTTACGTGAATCGAACTACTTAAGACAAAAAGGTCTCACTTGTTTATTTTGAAATGATCTCTGGTTTCAATTTCACTCTCTGTCTACATATACTGAATTATATTATTGTTTACAATAGATCATAAAGTGAAAGAAATTATTGGGGGTTTAATAATGTCTAATCCTGCCTTTGTGCTTATCTTCAACTGCAATTTTCACTGAAACACGGAAATACATACGATGAATCCTAATATCCATTACATGGACCTTTCATTTATCTCCGTTTTATTTATACCAAAGTGTACAGCTAGGAGGGAAAGTGGTTAACAAGTAGAAGTGAAGCCTGTGTGTTACTAAGATGGTTACAATGGTTTGTGATCAGTTTCATCATATGTCGACCTGTTAAACAACGAACATTATTTATCTAACAGACATAATTGAACTATCTCTCTTCTAAACTATGTGGAACTAATGTCATTTAAATGATCCCAGTTTATTCTCTAAGTATCCGATAGATGGAAATCAATAACGACGAAGCTTTCAACAAATAAACTATCCACAAATCTTTAGGCAATACTGACAATCTCTAAAACGTTTTTCCTATTACGTCAGCATGGTAGATAAAAGTATTTTGTCCTTACCCGTAATGCCAATCCGATATAAAAACCACTGCTCATTCCAAACTTATGATTTATCAACGAAAAATTCTAGACTTGTTAAATCTCATCCACAGTTAGTGGATATTGAAGAGTATCCCTAAAGTACTATATTCTATCAAAAACATGCACTTTGTTAAATATAAACAGTCAAATACACATATTTAAAAACTACGAGAACATCTCTAAAATTTTGATTTCAAAAATTAGCGCATTCTATAGCTACACTTCGTTAGATTCTCGAAAGTTACTCTAATTAATGCATGCCATTTAACCTCAGAATAATGCAACTTGACACTATACTAACTAAGAAGCTATCATTCACAATCTCTCCAAAGTTTTGAACAATTTCAGGATCCTCACATAGTGTGGTTCCTAAACTTTATTTTATAAACAGGTGTTAAGGAAACTCCTAAAGCTAATAATCAAACTCTTACAAAGAAAACTAAAAAGATTCAAGGAAAATAAGCTTACCAGTACTTCCAACAATCGTGGCCACCAAAAGATCCTCTGAGGACGTTCTAAACTTTCCAGTCTTTCAATAAAAAATTAAGGTTAGTAAAAGCCTGACACACCTGCACATTACATTCATCATCCTGACAAGCACGATAAGGAGCTAAAAGAAGGAATTTAAAGAAAATCAAAAATCAAATATTACTTATCATATCATTCAATAGATTCATCTGATCATTAAGTGGACATGCCAGATAGTCTGCATTTATTTGAGATCCGTTGATAGATCATTTGTCTGATTTCAACATATTATGTTCAATGCCTAAACTAAGCACATCACAATGCTGTGTCCTTAAACCTAATGATCATATAGGATTCCTTGACTGGTGTATCCTGATCAACATTCAAGACTTAGAAATGACCTCCATAGCTATTCTGTGGATATATATATTATAGTGAAACTAATATGTAGTGAAATTGGTTACATTATAGTTTAAAGCAATTAGTCCCTTTGATAAATTTCTATAGTGCAATAATAAGAAGATGAAGATTATCAGAACTATGTGATATATTAGCGCAATACATTCCGAACAATCTGATCACCCATACAGTTGTTAAGATCATTTATATATAAAAATAAAAGGTCAACTAGTCACAATTGATTGATCACTGGGTGGTGATCAGTGTCATGTGTGTCAAGGGAAGCTGGGTGACACGGGATCGAATCCGCCAGGGAGCACCAGTTCCCTCAAGATTACAGATATACCTTGCTGACGAGTGCCAAGTAGCACGAAACCCGGGTCCAGGGTTTCCTGTCGACTACCTCCAACCACCATCTAATCTCAAAATGTCAACTAGACTAGAAATGGAGGGCGAGAAGAGACAAGGATAATAAATGATGTGATAACATTTTGAAACCTCATCACTCTGGATAATAAGCTGATATTACCAGGGTAAGTTTAAGGTGAGAACAAACTGTTTTTGAGTACACGGAGGGGGTTTGAATTTTCGTATGGCTAAGGCTTCAATAAACCTGTTACAGTTTTATACAACACCACAGAAGCTGAGTTAAGATCAATCTTATGACCTGCTTCAATTAGGTGTTTCTAGTCTAGTTGACCTTTTATTTTTATATATAAATGTTCCCGACAAATATATGGGTGATCGGATTGTTCGAAATGTATTGCGCTAGTATATCACACAGTTATGATAATCTTCGTTTTCTTATTACATTATAGTTGTAACAGGTTATATAGGCTATTCTTGTTTTTAAGAAACTCATTTTACGAATTTCCATTTAACCTCTATTTATTAGTAATAATTTTAGTGAAGGTTGAGTTTCCATAGGTCTCGCCCTTTACTGATCCTAACTAGACAACCAGTGAAAACCAAGAACCACTGAACAACTGGCCAGTGGAGACTGACCATGTTAGATGTTAGACAACTGTTCACCGTTGACAATGAAAGATGGCTACTCAATGTCACAAACTGATTGAAGTCAGGCATGTAAATCATGGCATAATTGCCCAACTATTTAGAGGTTAGGCGCTCACACGAGAGATTGAAGGTCCTGGGTTAAAAGCGGGGCCACAGATGAGCACTGATGATTTCCATAATAGAGCGAAACAGCTGTCCAGTGCTTAATGGTTTTCACTGATTGTCTAAAGTCGTAGATTAATTTCTAGTTGTTGGAAAATAAAAATGTAGTTAGTCTTTCCGAAAATTTAGGGCTTTTTAAAATTTACATTCGTGCAGTAAATATGAACTTAGCTTTACATGCTTATCATTGTTGGTTAACGAAACAACCCATAAAATAGGATCCAGATAATTACGGATAAAAGTTTATCTCAGTCAGCAAGGACATAAAAGGTAAATATCAAGAGAATTAAGTAATCTATATTAATTGCTTTACTACTGGTACTCGGAATAAGTCTTAGGTGTTTTCACTAAACCATGTAACTAGGAGCATCAATACACTAAACATTATTAATATTAATCTTGAATCCAGGTCTCATACCTGCCAATAGCTGCCACTAAGAATGGTAGCCTTTAACTTCTGTGCTTAATTTTTCAGGTTTAAATAACTATAGTAGCTTCTCGGAGCTTACAGATACTTGCTTTTTAACAGCCAAAAATAATTTTTTCAGTGTTTCTATGGCCCCCTGAAATCAACTGACATCAAAAATGAAATTCCGAACTCACTGAAAAGACTTACTGATATCCTCTTTTACATCGTTCGATGACAAATGCCTGTAAAGCTTTTGAATTTTGTTTACTAAACAATGGTTCTTCGCTATCAACTCCTGTTTCTGCTGATCTAAATCTTTAATCACTCTGCCCAGTGTTTTAATTTGTAAATTAGGTTGATTGTTTTCACTGGAAAAACTCCTTTTCGGTTTAATAATCGATTGTCTTTTTTTCTCTGAACACTGATCGGATAATATATGATTTTGTTCTTTTAGTCGCTTAATTTCTGCAAATGCAGTCTCCAACTGTACTCGCAACTCTTCAACCCGAGTAAATTTCATGTCTGTTATTAAGCGGCTTTAAAAAATTAAAGTGAGGATTAGAGTATGAATAATAACTAAGTCCATAAATGTCAGTAAAAAGAATTCTAATTAACAACTTGGAAGTTAATCTTAACCAACCATTTTAAAACTCTGATCATAACTTAATTACAGTTAACAGATAAGCTTAGCGAGTTTTGATCTCATACATTAATGAAATTACTCATCATCTTACGTCCAATGGCTAAGTCTCTTCGTGGCTCATTGTTTCAACAAAGTTACCATAATTAATAAGCATCCCATTTTGTGTTAAACGTCTTACTTATTGTTGGGGAGATCCAGAAAACCCCTCGAAAAAAAAAGCCAAGAAAGGCTCTGAAAACACTAAGAGGCATCTTATCCAATCAGCGTTCACTAGAGGTTTTGCCGGAAACATCTAGAAGTTGGAAAGTTACATTTCGAGTTTGTGATTGGATTATTAACACACTGCTACTATGTTTAGTAGCATTCTAGAATTTTCCGGAAAATCCAAGGACATCTAAAATACTATAAAAACCCTACATTTTCTGTACATAAATGAACCTTCGGAGTAAAGTGTTTCTTGCATATTTTGCGCCCTTTCTCTCGTGTTCAAGTCTCTGTGTAGTTCTAGCTTGAGGGTTACTAGAAAAGCTTGGGAACCGAATATAGCATTCAATTGGAAAGACTTATCACTTATAAGAAGCGCTTTATAAAAATAAGTTGCATAAAGTTACAAATGAATCCGACTTATAAATTACTAGCAATTAATATCTTGAAGTAATTACTGATAAAAACAATACTTGTCATATCTTGCGTGAATATTGTGATGCAAGTAAACCTAAATGACAAGCATCAAATAACACGAAACTTTTGCTCTAGTTCTATTACCAACTACTAATACAGATATAATTACTCTTTCATAGAATGGAAATATTCAAGCCTCTTATATGCACATCACTTAGTAGCTTTTGTAGACATATTTCACTAAAACAAGATCAGTCATACAAATCAATTTTTTAGTGTTCCCAAATTCCAGTTGATTATGTCAATTAATTTGAGGTGGAAGATTATGTCAACTTCATGGACTAAAATACGTCTTCAGTTATCAGTCATTATCTCTTTCGTTTACGAGCTTTAGAATGTGAATCAATGTCAGTAAATATGACTGTTAAAGGCTGTTATAAATTCTAAGCTAAATTAAGTTACGTTTCTAAAATTAAACGTCTTTTTTCAGCATACTACTTATTTTACTCTGCGAGTAATATTTATTAATTTAGCCAATACAGACTATATTAGCCAAAGATACACAGAAGCCGAAGTTACATCGGACAGTTTATTTATTATACCGTCCTAAACATCAGCAGATCAAATCCTCAAATGTGAAAGCATCAACCACTGAACCTCGAAAGGGTAAATCGCCCAACAAAATGACCAGTAGGTAATGCTGGAGCTTTCTTTCGTTGTGAAGTTTTAAACTAGGAAAAAACAAGTATCCCATGTTCCTTATTTTTCATCACTCTTAAAAGGAGTTAGTTGTGGCCATTTTCAAGCACATCACTTTTCCATATCTGAATGAATTGAACGGGCATTAAGTATATTTCGAAATGTAACTCCTCCCTTTCATAGTTTTGGCACCCACTTGAGTTAGAAAATTACGAACATTCAAAATTAAACAAGATTCACTTCATGTTTGCATAGTGTCATCTTACTTGTACTGAGAATCTTTATCTTGAAGTTGGGTCTGCAGGTTGAAAAACTTTTGATGAAGCAAACGAATATTTTTAAGCGATTTCTGTTTGTAGCAGCCTGCATTCTGGTTTATTTTTGAGCTCTAATGACATTGAAATTTTAAGGTATAACATTTCTTTACTTCAATAGGATTGACCAGCATTGTAAGTTCATTCTCTGTTTTAACCAGATTTTCTTTTAAAATACGGCATTGTGCGTTTAGATCTTTATTTTGTTTAGTAAGTAAGGCTACTTTCTGTAATGAAAAACAAAGTTTTCTCCTAAAATGTTAATAAATCGACACCTTATTCAAAAAAATATTACTAAATGTTTTAGTGTGATTCTGTTTAACCAACGACAATAAAAATAAATGGTGGACCACTATAAACTAATGATGATTGTAAGATGCCAAGTTCAGTAATTTATTCAAATGATTTCCTTTCAGTAATCAGAGTAGAATACAACGCACTTCAAAAATTAAAGTTAACAAGAAAATTTATGGTTCTTCAGATGATTTATAAATTTTGATAGTTGAATTCATGCGTCGATGAAAGCTAAACCACTATGGAAAACCTGGAAGCACTGGATAGACGTTTCGTTCTGGTATGGGACTCCTCAGTTGTGTGCATCGATGACCCCGCATGCGGAGCTCGAACCCATGGCCTTCGGTGTTGAGGACAAAAACAACTATTTTTTTGAATGGTTGATGAATATACATTTTGGCAAAAATATTCTCTCCAGTAAAACTGAAAAAGTTCATTACCAAAATTCATATTCATCCATCAGCCAACAGCATGATCTTTCTATTTAACTTTCCAGATAACTAAATAGCATTGGCAAGACTATAATTTATGGACGAACCAATTAGTGATAAGATAACAGGTTTCGGATTTTGGCGCGAAATTCATGCATCCAGTTGGCGAAATAGAGTTTTGGCATTATAGCTGATATCAGTTCGTGAGCAAAACTCTGAATCTATTTCCTAACCTTAACGACCAAATGCAAATCATAATTCTATTTCCTCATGTCAGTTTATAACCGTCATTTGGTCCTGGTTATTAGGTGGACACTCTCAAGGTCACTTCAGCGTGGCCATAAACTATAGTCAGTTCTGTTGGAGTCCGCGCGACAACTGAGACCGGAGATTGAAGGCGTTGGGTGATATGACTCAGAATCGGTCACTAACGTGGATACACTCACTGTTTATTGTTTTCCACCAGAATTCGAGTTCCTTTATTCCTTCGCAAATCCCTCTCCGGTTTGTTCTTCCCAGCAATATTCTTAATGTTCGGTTTTCCTCAAAATCGTTACTGCTAAGTTATTTCGATTAATCCACTATTCAGTCTTTTAAATAGTTGTAATCGCTCGGATACTGTAATAATAAGATGAAAGTCATTCGAACTATACGATATATTAGTCCAATACCTTTTGAACAGTCTGATTATACATATACATCTTAACAACATTCCGATCTAAAAATAAGAGATCAACTAGACGACTAGAAGGTAAGTGGAAACAAGAATAATAAGGAAAAAATGTGAGGATACCATGCTGAATAATACTTGCCTGATAACAAGGAACGTTTAAGGTAACAAGAAACTGTTTTCAAATGCATGAAGAAAGTTGAAATTTTTGTATGCAACTAGTGTACACACTAAATAACTTTTGTACAAAATAAGAGGCTGATTTAAGATCAATATTATTAGCTGTTCTATGTACTTATCAAATAAGAAAAGTAATATTTGTCATCTTGTCTCAACAAGCCATTTGATTTTACTCACTTCTGTAGCTATTTTGGTACATATTCAGAGACCTTGTCTGCTCTTGCGAATGTGGTATGACAACTTCAGTCAACATAAAGATATTCCAGGCCCTAATTTCACCTTGAATGACCTATCTGTAATTTTTAATTCTACATTTTGTCAATAAAGAGACTATTTTACCATCCAAATAATATTTGACGTTTGTCTTCTACTTACCTTACTCTACAAACACTTATATCCTTCAATAAAACGCTATTAGCTTAAAATTATACAAAGTTTTTGTGAGAAACTTAGCCAATATTAATGTCTTCTTTAAAATAGCTAGCTTGTTCGATAAATTTTAACCTTTTCGTTTAACTCATCCCATGCCCATATAATAATTTAAATGTTTATGTGGAGCAAGGTATACAGGTTTTGTGATGCATATTTTACCCATAAGAATTAAAGAACATAACTCCGCTGGACTAAAGAAAGACAAAAATGGCTCACTCAGAAGTGCTATAATCAAACACCTTGAAACATGTGTCATTCGATCAAAAATGACTCAAAGCTCAAAGACATCTACAAGTTGAGTAGAAAGTTTTCAAAAGCGGTTGTCCTCTGTCTTTTGAACACTGCCGAAGCATTTTTATTCATTTAGAAAAATCAGAATAATGTGCACAAAATAAGGTTTTATAGTCTCTGCACTGACCGTTGTTCTAATCTCTCGTAGGTTTTTCTTTCCTTCATTCACAGCCACTTCCTTTTCTTCTATTTCCTTGTTTATGAACCTTTAAGCCCCCCGAATAATTTGTTTTTGTTTGTATGATCTTCCTGATTACAGTTCATTTCAATTTAAACATCTTATCTCAGAACGCTGAGTATCTTTTTTCAAGTTATAACTCTTTATCTATCCTCATTATGAATAATCAAACTTTCAATAACAAAATTATTATAAGTTCCCTTAGTGAAAATGACAATTTTGTTCCTTTATTTATTTTATCTCACTGTCAACATGTTTAGAAAAATGTCCACCATCACTATTATTGTTATTATAACCATTTAGAAAATAATTATGTGTTTGAGATTTCATTTCGAGATCGAAATCTCCGCAAAGAGAACTTCAGGCTGAACAAATTTTTCTACTGTTATGTCTCATTGGATGCATTTTGCTTGGTTGTAAATGAATTAGAAAAATTAACAAAATGTACAAGGAATAAGGAATGTTGACACAACATAGCGCAAATTCATCACACATTTTGGACTAACTTCGTCTTCTCATTCCTCCACCAAAAAAGGATAAACCTATTACAGGTGAAAGATATGACTATAAAAAATCAGAAAAAAATACATTCAGCACGCGCACCATAAGTAGAACAAAAAGCATAACATAGAATTTACTATCATCACCATCAATAATATAATGAACTCTCTTCTATGTAAATTAAAAATTTAACATGTCAAGAGACTAAGTGATCCTGTTAATTGTCCCTCAAATTCTGAGTAATCTGAAGCAACGAGCAGGAAGACAATTTAAATTGATTTATGTGACTCACATCTGACAGATGTTTTCAGTTTCTGAACGTAAATCAGGTGATAAGGATTTTTCGGCTACTGGTTTTACGATTCTTGTAATTAAGAAGCTTTATTTATCTGCTAAGCCGACGAATTTTCAATGCTGAATATTATTTAAAGCATGGGGATAACTTTGTTTTGTGCTTCGGGAATCTTACTGTGAGCTGACGATTTTAGTTAACTGAACTCAGTTGAAAGTAGGATAGAAAATAGCTTAAGGTGATCAAGTAAATTAGTTTAGCTTCGTCCAAAATAAAATATTTTCACATTTGCTGTGCGTCTTTTTACATGTGTAAAGACTTTGAAAATATGGGGAACTAAGTTGTATGATACATTTTGGTTGTTTCAATAACAGTATTTTATCAAGACTCAGAGTTATTAAAGTTTTCTCTTACTTTTCTGAGGATAAGAATCTCATCCAAACAATCATCGTTACATTTGGATGTCTGACAATCTGTACATTTAGCAAAAACTCCATTTGTGTTACTCATAGCTGAATTTCTTATGTAACGCTTATCAGGTGAATTTATCTGTTTCCTCAAAAAACTTTCGGAGATTTTATTTGAAAGTTCGCTGTTTCCCTCTTCATTGACTGATTTTGACAAATTGTAAGCAGATGATCGGCGTAAAACATTTCTGTCCATCTATTCCAGAGATTTGTTTCATCAACACATATTCAAGCATTTGTGGTACGCGGTGTTTTCCTGGTACATAGTGAAGTCAAGGACATCAAAGTACTGTATTCAACATCCAATCCATTTTGCTTCAACATATTCGATGATTTATTATAACCACTTAATGTAAGTCAACTTTAACTCTATCGCCGCAAAATGATGTCATGAAGCGAAAGTCTGCGGAAGTATTTGGAAATAATAAGGACACACAAAGCTACTCAGAAAAAATAAGTTCAAATGGTTGTGGACGGAATAGAAGAAACTTTCACTTAACAGGCTTCCGTGTCTAGTAGCAGGGGATCACCAAATCCTCGATGCAGGAGCTTAGGTATGTTACCAATAAAAGAGGAAAAAGAAATTCGTAAATCATAGTATGATACTATCCTTAGTCCTAAAGAATAGATCAAGTTGCATCTCAAAGGACTCCTGGGAAGTCGCTTGAACTAGCTCAACCGGCAGCGAATCCCAGCATCCAACAACCCTTCAGGAGTAGGGGTTGTGTCTACAGTCTGTTCTCCTATGTTGTGTCTCAACTTTCTACAAGTTACCCCCTAGATTTGTCTTGAGGCTCAACTTAAGTAGGTGTTTGAGAGGATGTCCAGAAGTGTTAATGATACTGTAAGCCATTAAAAGGTCACTTCGAAGACGTCTATACTCTAATGGGTAAAGGTTAAGTGAATGGAGGCGCTCTTCATAAGGTTCAAATTTGAGTCCTCGAACTGATTTCGTGGCTCGCCGTTGGATACGCTCCAGGGTGTCCTTATCCTTTTGGAATGAGGGGGGAAATACTATGTTTCCGTACTCTAAATGGAGACGGATAAAACTATTGAAGATTATATGGAAAGTTCTTCCGTCAAACTGGCCAAAAATGCGCTTCAACGTTACCAGTGCAAGGTTTGCTCGGAAGGTATTTTTGTCACAGCGTAAAACTTTAAATCGTAGGGCACCAGGACTCCTAAATCTTTTCCTACTTGGGATACTACTAGAGAGGAGTTTCCTAAGTTGTAACTGCAGTCTGCGACATGTCGCAGATGGACTACTTTACACTTTGAAGTGTTAAAGGTAAGTCCGTTATCGTCTGCCTAACTTTGAAGTCGAGTCAGATCCTCCTGAAGTGCCTGCCTATCGTCTTGGTTGCGTATCTCTCCTCAAAGTTTCACGTCGTCGGCAAAAAGTAATAAGGCTGACGTTACCTGTTGGGTAAGATCATTTATGTGAACCAAGAAGAGAAGAGGTCCTAGTACTGAGTCCTGGGGGATCCTACTAGGACATTCCATAGCCTGAGATAAGGTGAAATTAGCCCTGACCTTAAAATGTCGATTTTCGAGTATGAAGTAAGCCAATCGATTAGAGGTGGTCTGATGCCCAATCGTTTGAGCTTATTGATGAGACATGTATGGTTAACCTTATCAAAAACTTTTGAGAAATCTAGGTAGATGATATCAACCCTCCCCTTGTGATCAAGGATGCTTGTCCATCTGTCCACCGCAGTCAGCAGGTTGGTAATACAAGAATAACCCTTCCTGAAACCATGCCGTTGAGGTGAGAAGAAATTTAAGGACAGTAAATAGTCATATATACCATCGCATATGAAGGACTCCTTGATTTTTGAGGGTATGGAGAGAAGAGCCACCGGTCGGTAACTTGAAGGTTCGCTGAGTCGACCTCCTTTGAAAATTGGTGTGATGTGAGTCAGCCTCCAATTTTCCGGTAGTTTTCCTCGACTTAGCGAGTGTGAGAACAGCACGCTAAGCGGCGTTGCCAAGATTGAGGCTGCTTCCCTCAGTATGGCAGAATGGACCATATCCGGGCCAGAAGTGTCTAATCTTAAGTGCTGCGGTTTCCGGAACACCAAGTCAGCGCTTAGGTTCGCTTCGGAATGTTCTGTGGAATTGCAAACGAAACCGTCATCAGTAAAGTTAATGTCAGTCGGTTGAAATGTTTGGAAGTAATGTTCAGCCAGAAGGTTAGCGGCGTCGCCCTCGTTGTTGGTCGGGCCGTTAAGACCTACCAGTTGGGAAACTCTAGTTTTGGCTTGACGAAGAGGAGCTGCATAACGGAATAAGCTTTTAGGATTGGAGGCGAATTTGTCCATTAGCTTTGTCTGGTACTGAAGCCTATTTTCTCTTATAGCCTTCGTGCATATGTTCCTGATATAATTATATTGCCTGTACGCTCCGTCGTTGTCAGTTCGTTCGTATTCCGCCCAACAGTGCCTTTTGCCGCTTAGCAGGCGAAGGTTACGGTTCTTGATTATTGTAGATGGCTTGCAGCTTTTAAGAAACGTTTGAGGAATTGAATGGTTTGTAGCACGTAAGAACGTGTGTAGTAAGAAGCCCCAATGACCGTCCACGTCGAGTTGGGGGTGAACATTCCAAACCACCTGTTGTAGATAGTCGTGTAGAGCTGGCATATTTAACCGTTTAAAATTCCAACGCAATTTATTGGTGGGGTATCTTAGGTTAGTTTTGATGACAAAACTAAAGGCTATGATGGCATGATCGCTCTTTACCAGGGGAGCCAGGATTGAGAGGTTGTCAACTAGAAATTCTTCGTTTGTGAATACGCAGTCTAAGCGCGATGGTGTCTGACTGTTTCTCCAACGAGTTGCCGACCTCACATTTTCGAACAATCCCAAGTCATCAATGAGGTTGAAGAACCGAGTTGTCGCCTCCAGTATACGTGTGTTCCGCGAAGTTGACTCTAGGGAGATTAAAGTCCCCTAGAATCAGTATGTGTGTGAAACCGAGACGAGTAGAGCAGGATAGTCCTTCCAGCATACGGTTATCGTACTCGATGTCGGCAGTTGGCTTCCTGTAAATGACTCCGACTAGACACCTCGAAGTACTAGACAATCTTACAGATCACCGTATAGATTCCTCAAGATTGTTAAACTCGAGGTTATGAACTTGATGAATCTCCAAGCAAGAACGTATGTAAACGGCTACTCCGCCCCCAATTCCTGATTTTCTGTGGTTGCGGAACACAGACATCCCAGGTAATGCTAACTCATGGTCCGAGAACTGAGAAGATATCCAGGTTTCAGATATTCCTATCAAATAGGCCTTATTAGCGTTGCTAAGTTCACGTAATTTGTCCAATTTGTTTGGTAGACTCGCGGCGTTCATATATAAGCAGTTTATGCTTTCAATTTGGAACGCGTGAGCTTCGTCCTGTTTGTCTGTATGAGCCTTACGTGAATGGACAGGTAGCCCACCTATATGAGGTTTGCCGAGGTGGTAGGCTCTGTCCTTTACACGTTTTTTATCATCTAGACAGTCCACAAGTGGAATGGTCAGCTCCAACTTGCCTTTGTGTTTGGTCCTAGCTTCGTATGACCTATCCGGGTGCATGTGGATTCCAGGTGGCAATCGACGTCTAATGGCACGAAATGCTCCCAGAGTTGCAGCCGCCATATGAGAAGATGGGAAGGTTATCTTCATTAGACGAGGTCTAAGATCACCGTTCTTCTTGGCTAGTCTCGTCACATGCTGAGTCAGTATGTGTTTGAGCCTCAAGGACTGTTTGATGAATTTCCATTCCCTGATGTCAGAATTTGATTGAGTAGGGTCTGCATTTTCCGGTATACCTTGCACAATTATGTTTCTTCCGCGGAAAAACTTCTCGCGAGATTCTTTAGGGATGTTCGGGATGAGATTGCGCTCAGAATACGGTATGTCGGGCAATATTCTTACGTTACCATCGGATTTCAGCAAGTGACTTGCTAGTAAGACATCCTCTAAGTCGGTAGCATTCTTAAGTGTTACTCGGAGAAGCCTCGGGTGATTTAGATGCTTAGATTCTTTTCCCCGAGTGAGCCATGTGACTGCCAAAGGCTCTATTCTTGGAAGTCCAAGTTTCTTGTTCAATTCTTGCCAGAGCATCCTATCATTTTTGTCCTGCAAACTGAGAGGAAGGTTAGGGTTGTCTTTTAAGTTCATGACTATGAGAGAGTCATAACGAACCGTTTTTGTCGTCCCAGGTTTTCTGATGCGTTCAGGTTTAGCACCCTGCTGTTTGGGGGTTGAAGCACGTCTATGAATCCTTGGCTTTTTCATGACCGGACGGACAATCTTGGGGGTAGAATGTGCGACCAGATCACCAGTTGACTTCAGTTCAACAGCTAGGATGTCCAACTTAGACTGTGACGCCTGGCCATTTTTAGTTCTTTTGACATGGGTCCAATCACCTACAGAGTTTTTGGGAACCACTGTCGCGTTCAGGGACCTTGAGCTGCGAGACCCGAGTGTGCTGAGGGAGTACAGTACTGTCGTCGTAATCATGGTGCTGAGTTCCAGCGTGTCATCATTAATGCTGTTGCATGCTCCGTCGTTGATAGACCTGTCGACATCCCTGTTCTCGTTTTCAATGCGCTTTCTAGTTTGCCTACCCATTTTTTGACTGTCTTTTCCCAAGTTTGCCGGCAACTCGCTCTTCAGACCTGTCAGTAGGACAATGATATTACTCAGCAAGACTGCAGCATCCGTGGTGCACGTAACACATTCCCACCTATAATCCGACTTGCTGAGTCTGTTGTAAGCAGTTGCTGTGAGATCTGTGCACGCTTCGTGGAACCAACCCTTGCAGTTGTCGCACTGCATGCCAGATGTAACAGCAAAACGGCATCCAGGTCGTTTGCATGAATTTTTCATGACTGTATTGACGTAAACTGTGTTGTAGATGCTAGCAAAAGCATAAGACTGTAAAAAATACACTAAAAAACACACTGAAAACGGAAAAAAATAGATAAAACGGATGAGATAAACTGAGCTAGTCTTTACGTGAAAAAGTGAAAAAAACCGAATAGTAAGCTGAGGCAGAAACACAGTTAACTATCAAATGGGGTGAAACACAAAAAAGTAATATACCGAACGTATAGCTCAGGATAGATTCTTTTGGACAGAAATAGTACTTTAGTTGCGTAAGAACACAGCAAAAGTTTGATAAATGCAAATCACGTTAGGACTAAA